GCAGAGAAATTCCTATTGACATGCAGATCCTGATTCCCCCAAATTACTAGTAGCACCCCCAAACATAAGAATCCACAGGGGGTGGGGGCAAAGGAACAAGTATCACAACATGTGTCACTCTGCCTCTTATGTATGTGTGTGTGATAAAAGGCATCATGATGTCAGGGCACACATTCTGTCATGTTGGCTTCATTGTGGCTAGCAGCAGATGCTTACAGCACTAAGACTTTTGCATTGTATCCACCAGAATGTAGGAACGGTTCTAGTCTCAAGTGGAGTGTCCTGACAAAGATCCTGGATTCTGAACAAACAGAAGGAAATATTTCTTCAGACAGATCATTGTTTATCTGCCTTTTTAAAAAGCTATAGTGATGGTCAAGAGTTTTGATGCCTCTACAGTGGGATAAAGAAATGATGGGGTATAAGGCTATCACTGGTTCTATGTCATGTTCTGTATAGACTACCTCCAATAGCCAAAGCACTACACCACTCAATACCAGTTATTAGGAAAGATGAGTTTGTGTGAATGATTGCCATCATATCCTACTTTGTGATGAACACAAAGTTTGAGGTTCAACCTACCGTGAGAACATACAACATAATGTTTTCTCATCTTGTGTGCACTCAGCCAACTTGTTAAGCCACAACATGGTTTCTTTGCTTAGACGTGGCAGGTCATGTGAACACAACAATGGTATTTTGTTATGGGAGTCAGGATTTTGCATGTTCTGTAAATTCATTGGCTGTATTTTTACTCTTTAGTCCAGGGGTAGAAGACGTGCCTTCCCAGGCAAATTTTCACTTAATTTCTTTTAGCCTCATCACTGCCTACAAGGTCCCTGCCTCTCCTTATTTTTCTAGATCTTGATTTATGTAGAAGACCATACAATCCACTTCACTGTTCACAAAAATGGTTTAGTTCCTCCTCCCAAATTGTTTACTGACAACTCTTGTGATATCGTAGCCACCTCCCGCAGTTGCACACACATTCATAGTGTCAGATATAAACCATCCTGCAGCAGGAAGAGATTCATTAATTTACATTGCAACAGTAGCATTAAGAAAGGATTGGGGGACTATATGTTATGTTCTCCATTCTAAACCCCTTAGAGTAAGGACACCGGATTGGGCTGCAAAAATCTGGACCACTCATGATGGATACAGAAAAACCCTTAATGCTTTGATGCCACCTAGTGCTTGTCTTCATTTTTGTAGTCCAAATCTGGTAGCCGTAAGACAGTTGATTTGTCTTGAAAATAGACGGTGATGATGATAATGATGATGATGACGACGACAATGATTTATCCTTAAGGTAAATTTCAAAGGGTCTGATTTTACATATACAGCTGAAGTTTTTTAAATACAAATCCATCCTGCCAGAGAACTGAACTGAAAGACAGGTTGCTTATTTTTAAGTTCCTCTTAACTTTCTGGGGCTCAAACTGGCCATTCATCAAACTCAAAACTCAATTAACTTTCATTTTGCTAACTCAAAAAAAAAAAAAAACTAAAAAAAAATTAAACATTGCTTGATCTAGCAAGGCCAGATACAATACAATACAATATATAGCATTAGAATAAAATTGCACATATATATTATTCTTACGGCTTTGTTAAAAATGACAAAGTTATTATCTGTGCCTACTGCTGCGCAAAGGATCGCAGAACCCTTCCTCTAACAAATGAAAGTCTTCAGGCAGACCGCCCAACTGGCAGTAAACATTGAGCTTCTCATAAAGGGATGAAGCTCCCTAGAAGTTCATTTTTATTTCATACATGGCAGCATTCTTGCTAATTAAGGTTAAGTTTTATATACACTAATTGCCCTTGGTGCACTTTAAACTGCACTTTAAATCTTTGACCAAAGATTTAATATCCATAAAGATTAATATCCATAAATCATGACATTGGAGACTTCTCCCCACAACAGCGCTTCATGTATGTATGCATAAATATGTCAGAAAAACAGCTTTAAAACAAAGGATGTTGTGGCAAACTAACAGGTTCCTGTTGCTTAGAACGAGCTTCTCTAACTGGTATCCTCCAGTGGTCAGAAGGGCAGTTCACCAAATTTCAATCCAACATGGTCAAAATGCCAGCTGGGAATTCTGGAATATTTACTCCAACATATTTGGAGAGTGTCAGAGTTAGGATCATCCAGTAAGGTCAATTTGATGTCTCCAATAAATCCTACAAAAAAGTATGCCAAATAGTAATGAGACTGCTGGTTTTGTTAAAACAGTCTAAAACAACTAACCCAACTAAATTATTTTTTAATAATTTAAAAAAACCATTTTTTATAACATATTGTTGAAAAAGACAAAATAGTTGTGCTTCATCCTGACTGGTATTTTAAAAAATGGAATTATTTTGTAATGAGTAAAACTGTTGTTATAATCTTTTCTGTCCATTTCCTAGATTTATTTTCTTAGCTACCTCTCGCTTAGTGAAGTATTTATTCGTAACTAGCAAAATATGCCCTATTCAGGTATTTTCATATCATGCAAATATATAGTTGTGATGATATGTGGGAATGACCCTGGGAGACAGGAGGAAGAGCCACAGACTAGACAACGATCAGACATGCTGCAGCTGAGCCCACAGAAGAAATATGGGGCATGGCAAATGTCTCAGAAGGGAAACCTCCCTAGTTTCTTGGACTTTAAAGGTGAGGGAGGGAGAGATATACTTTCAGACCTGCAAGATTCTGTTAATGTAACCTTACAATAAAATTAGAGTTAGAACTTCTGGGTGTGCTTCTTGTCTGGACTACCTCACAAGGCTGACAATAGCTGAGGTTTTTCCTTACTAGAGCAATATCATTTTTAATAATAACTCAGTGCAAAGCAGTAATGGCTGACACTTGGACTGTAATAGAGAAACTTGTCATTCCTCACCATGCATTTTTTCCCAAAATATATTTTTTTCACTGCCATGAACAGCACATCAATGAAGCTGATCAAGTGATTGGTTGACCATGGATGCATGCTTAGTTTCTTGCCAGCATTGGTTAAAAAAAAACAAACAAAAAAACCCTTACCTTTATTTCTTGCCAGCAACTGATAATTTTGCTTAGCTAAAGATAGATGGAATGGAACTCTCTGTAACTCTACACTGCCAAGTTTATGAACCCTTTTGAATTTTCAGTATCCTCTTTATCTAATTGTAGGACTTGTGTGGAGAACAGATCACACTTTAGATCATACTTATGCAGACATACTGAAAATTCAAATGGGTTCACAAACTTTTGTGTAGCACAGCAGTTTAGAGACTGAAGACCAGGACTATGAATCCAAAGGGTCCTGGGATAAATCTTGTCTTTGCTATGTATTCCTTACATAAGTAAGCCAATCACTCACTCTCTCCCTATATCTGCCAGATAATATGATTTACAATAATAATAGATGAATGCTTAATTTTTTAATCATTTTTCGATTACTATCATTTGATAGGTGCCATCATAAATAACACCAAGAACACAGCTTGGAACAAACCACTGCTTAGTTCATAAATGTTGCCATTTCTGAGAACGCCCCGTCAAAGAGAGATGCCCAGCATAATTCACAGAGTACTGATGTAACTGCAGGAACTCAAGCCGGTTGCATTTCTGTGGTTCCAAGGAAGTCATGGCATTTCAGTAAGAAACTCCCTTTTGAATGTTGCAGAAGCTAGAGGACTGCACTAAGAAACAAACACATTTGGTTTTTCAAAGCATACTCATTTCAGATCAGACTCATCCAAGGATATGTGTGTGCATCTTACTATGCGCTATGCTCCAACATGTCCATTTTCTTTTAGCAGGCAACCTCATATGTAAGGCAATTGTTGTTGTTGTTCAGTCGTTAAGTCGTGTCCGACTCTTCGTGACCCCATGAACCATATCGCATCTATGTATCTTTAGCTAAACAGTCCACAGCCAGCTCCTGTTACTCAATCTATTTCAGTTGAAGTTGATAAAAGTTGATAAAAGCAAATCTTACTGGTGCTTTGGCAAGAGTTTGATTCGAGCAGTGGTTGAGTGCCATCTAGAGAAGGAATGGTGAACTAAGTCATGCTACAGAAGAACAACAGAAAGCCAGCGTTTGAGAATGGAAAGAACGCAAGAGGAAAAAACAGAGGTGAGCTACAATATAGAGCTGCAATGAGACTGACTTTCTTAAATGTTAAATATGTTTGGAATTTGATTATTTTTATCAGGAATTAGGGTTGTATCAAGCATGGGGGGGTGAGAGGTAGCTAAAAGAATCATACTGAGAAATTGTAAAGTGATATTATTCCAGATGTTAAGGAATGGTTGTCAGAAATGTGTGATCTCTCTCTTTTGGAAAAGGCAGTATTTTCTACTAATCAAACAATGCAGCAAGATGTAATACTACGGCAGAGATTTTGTGATATTTTACAATCATATTTTGCACTGTTCATATTATAGTAGTGTACTCATTAGTAAACCAGTGACTATTAGTGAGTATAAATATTAGATATTTCCCCCCTCTTCTTTCTTAGTTTGTATTTTTAGTTTGTTTGGGGGTTCTTTTTTCTAATTTTTAAAAAATTACGTTTAAAGATTGTTATGTCATGTATGCATAAAAATCAGTGGAAGGAAAAAGAGACTGATTAAATTTCATTTACTTTAAAAATAAACATTTTTCAGAGGTGCAGATCATTTGTTAGACTGGAATTTGTAGATTGTTTTGGTAACTGAAAGCCTTCATTTGGGAGATCAGTAGTTAGAGAAAACTTGAAAAGAATCCAACTCAGTTGGTAAAGATCTATTTACCCTAATGAGCAGAAAGTAAAATCAGTTTAGGTAAGATTACTTGGGCATGGACATTTATATTCTAGTTTGTAAGATATGAATAGTGCCTCAAGTATCATTCTCATGAATAAGAGAGGCACAGATAAAAACCAGGGACAATAGCAGTTCTCACAGCATCACAACTTATTCAGTGCTAATGTCTTTGATCTAAAACAAAATGTTAACAAAAGAAACAGAAAGGTAATCCCAGGCAGTCAAAATTTATTTTTCACAGATGAGAAACAAAAGCATAATTGAAACCAAACTGTATGTATGATATTTATTTTATATAATCTTTTATACGTAGCAGTGCTCTCAACTCAGATTTAATACTGACAGTAGCAAGTTTCGCTCAGACTGGTTCCTACTGTATGTCCCTCTTAGCCTTCATTTTATTTGTAGAAATCTCTTTGCCTTAAAAAAAAAAAAAATTGCAAGCCAACCCCCCCGCCCCCGCCCCAGATAGAGCAGTATAGTCATCTCCACAGGAATCAAGACTTAAAAAAAAAATAACCCCACATTAGAGAATTAATTAAAAAACAATCACAACAACCTGGATTGTATGCTAATCTAAAATCTTTAAAAGTGGAATGAGGGAACAAGGAAGTCAGAAAGCAAGTTCAGAAACCTACAAATGGGAGCAATTCTGCATCTTCCAGAATTCTCAGTATAAAGACGACAGTAATGGAAGAAAACACTTGGATTTGACAGAACTGATTCAGAAAGCAAAGCTTCCTCTATTTCTAGCAGCCCAGGTCTAATTGCCATGGAAAGTAAAGCACAAGTACATCAGCCCTGCAGGCTAACAATGCATTGAAGCAAAGTACGTCATTAAAGCTAACCAATACAGGAAATGCCATAAATGAAGATTTTATTGGATTTCTGAAAAGTGGAAAAAAACTAACATGAAGTGTCAGACCACAGACGTCCTTCCTGTCCCTGAAAAAGGTTAATTAAGGAGTGCTCATCTACTGAGCTTAGTCATGCGTCTTTTGTCATGCCTTATATATATATTTTTTAAAGGATTTAGGCCAGAATCCAAAGTGTGCGTGTGAAAGATTGCATGAAAGATAGAGTTGGTGTATCTCCCCTGATCCAAGGCTGTCGGAATTACCATGAGGAGGTTGAAAAACCTCTCCCTATACACAGCCCGCTGTATCCCAGTGATAGGAAATATTAACATGAGCTCTAGTTTTGCAAGATAGGTATGTATGCCCAACCTCTGTACAGTAAAGATATCTGCATACATCACCCCATCTATAAAAACAATGTTTGCATATTAAATTTTACTGTAAAGGCCCAATCTCTGTTAAGGTGAACAGGAATCTGATTATTGACTTTAGCAGAGCTATGATTCTGCATGTTCCAGTATCTGCAAAACAAGGAAGACTCTTTGAAAAAGTGGGAATTATTAACTTCAAAGTATTTTTTTTTAAATGTTCCTAAGGATAGTAAAATCGTCCAGCTTTGGTCTTGAATAAAAAGGGGGTAAAATGACTGGTCTGTCTTTCTGCAATTGACAAAGAATGAAGAAGTGAAACTTGGCGAATGAACAGACATTTGAGAATTAAGCAACATTGGTGTGTATGGAATTATCAGTTCACAATTTTCAAAATATGAATGAGAAACCAGCCTCACTTGGATCCCCACCCCCAACATGCACAGATTTAGCAGAGTTGCAGCAAATAGGTTATAGCCGTTTTTAATGCAAGGCTTCGCACACTGATGACTGAAAAAAAATGGAGCTTTCCACAGCTTAGCAGCTGCAGTGTGATTGTATTTAAAAAAGCAGATCTTCTGCAGCACATAAGACGGTATGGATTATGGCGGCCTTTTTCTATGTACAGTCATTTGATTTGTATGCTGAAGCTTTTACAACTGATCAGACCTTGGGGCGCATAGCCTATGGCGTTCTCAAAGCCAGCAGTACCTTCCAGACAATGCCAAGGATGTGGGTTCTTATTTAACTGATCATCTTGGACAAGCCTCTTGGCATAATCTGCCCCACAGCCCACATGGGACACACAATGGAAGTCAAGCCAAACAAAGAAAATACTGAATTATTTCAGTTCTGACACCTTAAGTTTCAACATTTAATACTTCATTATGGTGACCATTTTCCTTTTCAGGGAATGACTAAGAATTGACATTAAAGATTTGTTTTGTGATTATTTCCTAAGAAACAGAAAGGGGGGAAAAATCCCAAGAGGAATCCAAATGAGTCTGGGTAGAGTGGTTCTTGTTTTCTTTTCTTTTGTTTAAATAGCAGTGCTGAATGGCACTTTCCTGGAATAAGCATCTTATCAGGCCAGGTTTACAGTTGTAAAACTGTAAACGTGTTTAGCTTTAAACCTAAGGTCAGGTTTTACCACTGTTGGTCACAGGGCCTACATGACATACTTCAAAGTAGGAACAGTCTTATGGAAACGCTGTAGCCGTCAGAAAATAAAGGCCTATATGTTTACGTAAATATCTGTTTCTGTGTTAATAAGTATGGACACAATCCATACATAATAAGATTGTAAATTCAAGGCATTCAACAGAATTAAACATTATTTTTTAAAAAACACTACAAAAATCATGGAATATGCTTTGTAATACTCAGCACTCTCAAACTCAAAAATGGAAGCGCTGTTTCTTAAAACTGAATAGCACGGAAGAGCTTAGTTACCAAAAACAAAGGCAGCATAGCAATCAAAAAGTTATGCTAAAGAACACAAAAATGCAAAACAAATGTAAAACCTCACAGCCACAGGCAGATAAACCAACTGGCTGACAGTTAACTTTGGATTATCATTCTCAGCTAAACAAAGATCTTCATAAGGCATTCACACTACTTGAACATCATCACAGGCGTCTCCAGAGCAAGCAACTGCTTTGCCTTTGAATACTTTTCAACTGTCTTGAGTATCAAATGCAGAGAGTCAAGCCAATTAATGGCAGGTGACAGCAGCTAATGATTTGCAATACACAGATGAATTCCCTCTTAACAAAATCCAAGGCCTCTGATTACTGAAGAGTTTGTTCCCTTCAATCTCCTCCTCTTTTCTTGTTGACCTTCAGTGTAGGGAATTCAGATCCAGGCCGTCTTCCTTCTTTGCTCTCAGGCATGATTCTGGAACAAAGCTAGAAATTGACAGTCTCTCTCTCTCTCTCTCTCTATCTCTTGCCAACCCCATTTGTTACTTTTGTTTTTGAATGGCGATTTCTCCTCCTGGATGAATGGCTGTCACTGTTACTTGAGTGTTTGGGTGGACTGTCCTCCATTCCTAACAAGCAATTTGTACATACACAAAAACACATGAGAGACATCTACTTAATTTATTGTTTTGTTTCATTTCTCAGTCAAGGAAAACTCTGGATTTATGAATGCATATTGAAAGTTTAGTTGAAATCAACATGCCATCTAGTGGTTTAGCTGCTCACCATCTAATTTTACATACCATTAAGTGAGCTAATTACTGTGGAATATGCACGTGGCTAGGTTTTAGGCAACAGCATGCAAGATCTGCTGGACCTTGATAGGCCAACCCCTGCTACACAGATGTACTTTACATAATTTTAGATATTATCAAATTTTACATAATTTTAAATATCACACTCTACATAAATTTTAGTTATCATCACATTTTTGTAATTTTAGACACTATTTCACTTATAGCCTAGACGTATATTGCTCCTTTTGGACATAACTCACAGGTACTAGTCAGGTTGTTTTATAGATGTATTTTAAATTTATCTCAAATTTTATTTACTGATTTCTTAAGATAGATTTATAAACAGATCACGTATGGGCATACTTCTTGTACTGGCCTAAGACTGCAATAAACTGACTTGTGACAATTAGTTTTTTCATTTTTTCATCACTCTTTATAATAGGGATGGAGAATACCAGTGCTCCTACTAATGATACTGAATTATAATCCCACCCACAGTTCCAGCCAACACAGTCAATGATGAGGGATGCTGCGAGAAGTAGTTCTCTTCACTGCATTATATCAGTAAAGTAGCATTTAGCACATGAATATATTGGGGATTAAAAATAAAAAAAGGATGGAGCAAAGCTCAGGATTTAATGTACACAGAAAAATCTGTAGGTTTGTATGAAAATCTTGATATATGAAGAAAAATAACAGGATTTGAATCAACATTTATTAACTTGTTTATGAATCTCTGGAACCCTGAAGAAGGAGGAAGGGGCAAAGAGAGAACCTAGCTAGTGAGGAAAAAGCTACAGGTTGAGCACAAATGTGATCAGAATGAACTTTTTACTCCGCTAATCTGTGATGGAATGGAATTATGAAGGCCAAGCTCAGGGAGATAAACATTTTCTTAG